GGGTTGTGGTTTGCTCCGGCATTCACAGCCATTGAGGAAGAGGAAACCTGGTGAGGCTTCTCAGCTTCAAACCCCTTGGACCCAGGACTAATAGAGACTGTAAAGAATGTTTTCCTTCACCCTCTGAACTTTTCCAGCTCATTGCTTTAAAGAAATGACTTTGTGTTCAATAAAACTCATTTTGAGCATTTTACAGCGTTTTGGGTTTTTGGGAGTTCCAGTTTCCTATAGGAGGGCAAGAAGCAATCCCCTGGGGGAAAGATGCCACGTCCACCCCTCCTTTATTGAGGATAATAGCTCCCAGGTGCGACGGCACACTTGCATTGAAAACATTCACAGTATCAGAAATAGATTATATCCTCCCAATGTGACAAACTTCATGTATATGGATATTTCCGAGGAACTTGCTTTGAAAGCATTCACAGTATCAGAAATAGTTGGTACCCTCCCAATGTGACAAACCATGTATATGGCTATTTCTGAGGAACTTGCATTGAAAACATTCACAGTATCAGAAATAATTGATATCCTCCCACTGTGACAAACTTCTTGTATATGGCTATTTCTTAGGAACTTGCATTAAAAACATTCACAGTATCAGAAATAGTTGATATCCTCCCAATGTGACAAACTTCATGTATATGGCTATTTTTGAGGAACTTGCATTGAAAACATTCACAGTATCAGAAATAGTTGATATCCTCCCAATGTGAAAAACTTCATGCATTTGGCCATTTCTGAGCAGCCAGCATTGAAAACACTCAAAGATTCAAAAACAGTTGAACAACTCCCAATGTGACAAACTTCATATATATGGCTATTTCTGAGGAACTTGATTGAAAACACTCAAAGATTCAAAAACAGTTGAACTCCTCCCAATGTGACAAACTGTTGCATCCCAGTTCAAGAAACAAGACCATAAGATTAAATCCACCACTCTGGACTGTAGGAAAAGCAATCCTTGTTTATTGATGAAAAATTGGTTACAAAAGAAAGGTAAATGCAGAGTAAAAAAAACCACAGAAAAACACAGGAGTCAATAGGATCTCTGAACTTGAGCAAAACTTCAAAAGCCACAAAACAATAACCAAGAGTCTGTTAGCCTTTTACTAACCATGAACTTGGAAACAGAAGCCTCTAGGATTACTGGCCATGGAACACAGGAATTCTGCCAAGACCAGCCACAGTCCCGAACGTTGCTTGACCTAAAGAAGCACCCGGCAGGGATGCTCTTAAACCAAAGAAGCTATTCTTAGAAACGCCCCTTGACTTTTCTGTTTGGGTCTCTTTTTGCTGAAGCCGCTGTGACCTTCGTACAGACTGGGAGACAAATCTATTTCTCACTATCTGTTCTCTCTGGAGCTCATTATCTAGCCCAGGTGGGGAGATATCACGGCTAACTTCCAAAACATTCTCTTCTAACTGTTGGGTTTCGTTTTCATTTCCACTGAGCTCTGCATCAACAACAGATTCCACACTGTCAGGATCAGGGAAAGCTTGCTCAGTTTGAAAAACTATCAGAGAATCCTGTTCACACAGATCAGGATCAGGCTGAACCCCAACACAAACTTCATGTATATGGCTATTTCTGAGGAACTTGCATTGAAAACATTCACAGTATCAGAAATAGTTGATATCCTCTCAATGTGACAAACCTAGTGTATATGGCTATTTCTGAGGAAAACATTGAAACATTGCATTGAAAACATTCACAGCATCAGAAATAGTTGATATCCTCCCAATTTGAAAAATGTCATGCATTTGGCCATTTCTGAGCAGCTAGCATTGGAAACACTCAAAGATTAAAAAACAGTTGAACTTTTCCTAATACGACAAACTTCATGTATATGGCTATTTCTGAGGAACTTGCATTAAAAACATTAGTGCGTCTTTATTGTGTGCCAGGGCCCATTTTGCCCATTTGGCGCCTTAAGGAAATTGTTTAGTGCGTCTTTAGTGTGTACCAGTGAAGCTGCTAGGAGCTTTAGGAGGGTCTTCCCCAGAAGGAAGGACCCTAAGACCCCACCAAGGAGGGTTCGCGACTTTGGCGAGCCAGAGAAACCTGATTTCAGCAATTTTATTTGTATTAAAAATTCAGAATAAAGCTCACCAAAGTTGAAGTGGTACTGAGGTGTTTATTAGCGATTCAGCTGAAAAGGATGCTAGGTAGCAATAATTCGCCTACAAAGCATACCAGTACAGAGATCAGAGGCATTTTTATAGGAGTTTACAGGTTTGAAAGTTCAAAATTCCCACCCCCGCCCTCCTCCCAGCTCGCAGGTGATTGGCTGACATGATTCCAGCTGAGAGTAGGCGCAGCTGCCCGCCCTGCGTCACAGAGCTCCTCCGCTGCACGGGAGCCAGTGGGAAGACTTCCTCTGTCTCGGTGCTCTGGCAAATCAGAAGAAGGGAGGTGGGGCGAAGAAGAAACAATGGGCTGATGAAGAGATCAATGGGTTTTGATGCCCAGGGGCTTGGAGCCCGAGAAATCCAGTCTATTGCGGGTGCCCAGTTTATTGTCCTTGAGTGGATTTGTGATGAGCTTTGATTACCTTATCCGGTTCTTCCTGTTGCAATCAGATAAGGCACAAAGGAGAGGCTCGGGAGGAATGTCTAGTTTGAATGAAGTAAACAAAATTGGGAAGGCGAGCTCCTGAGGGTCGTCTTGCCCCTATTGTGAAATGACCAAAAAGTGGGCAGAAGGAAATTCCAGTCTGATGGCTCTACTTTGAAATCAAATAGGAATTCCAAGTCTTATTGTCCGTGTCAGAGTTTCAATGATATGGGTTTCTTTTGTGGTTGTCAACAGCTGGCTGCCTCCTTGATGGGCCCCCCTCATGATGAAGGGAGAGGGGCTGGGTGCCAAAAAGAAAAATACATGGAGAAATATAGGGATCCGAGGAAATTCATATCAAGCCTCCCTTCCCTCTCTCCACCCGCCAGAGAAATTGATTAAAATATTAATTTTATTTAAGCAAGAGTCCATAGTTCATATTGGGAAGTTCGGATATGAAAAGGAGTTCATTGGAGCCAAAAAGAAATTTGAAGAAAGTCCAACAGTTACAAAAAGTGTTTGATTATTTCCACTGAACCAAAGGATGGATTCCTGCATTGCCAAGATCGAGTTGGTTTTTGGTCCTTGGGAAACTATAACTCCCTCCAAGGACTGGGGTCTCCAGGCCAGGCTCTTCCCTGTGAGCCTCATGGGATAGCCACACCAAGTCTCCAGGGGCAGGGGTCTGGCAGAGGCAATGGAATGGCAGAACGCAGCAGCGCAGCAGCAACGGAGCTGGCTTTTTTGATAATCAGCTGTTCCTTGTAAAATATATTCTTTAAATTAAAAGGTTATTCCTCGGGCGTAGTAGCCCGAAATGCAAAAAGCGAGATAGCAGATAGGATTAAGCTAGGAAAAATATGCCATCAAAATGGAGGCGATCCGCCATCTCGTGGATACTGGGGTCCGAAAGGGGGAATTCAGTATCCACGGTTGGAGAAGTGCAGATTTGGTCTCCCCAGAACGCCAGGAAAGCATTCCGGGCAGGCCTGCAGTCTCCCATGGCCTGGAAAAGGTTAGTTTCATGCATTTAGATAATTTAGGCAGGGAAAGACACAAAGTATCAAGCTAGAGAGTTGAAAGTTGCAATTTCATTAATCTTTATTTGGGGATTTGTTACAGAGTTGGGGCTGGGTAGGAAAGTGAAAAGGGAGAGAATAGGGCTGTGTTGAGTCCCTGGTTGAGCTTTGCTGTTGGGGCGCATTTCAATGCAAAGTCATCAGAAATGTCCAAATGTCCGTTTTGCCTATTTCGTGCCTTTTAGAAGATGTACAATGTGCTCTGGTTCATCTGAGTCCACACTGCCATAGTTCAAAGCAGATAATTTGGCTTTTTATACAGCTGTGTGGAAGTGGCTCAGTTCAAAGCAGATATTGTGGATTATCTCCCTTGATATTCTGGGTTATATTGCTGCACGGAAGGGCTTAGGGTGCAATGTTCCAATTTGGCCACGTGATGGCAGCAAAGGACTATATTGGGGCTGCCCAGTCCTGGGCAAAAAGTGCCTCTGCAACTTTAATGAGAGAGCAGATCAAGGAGGGTGTAATTTCCGACGTGTCTACTAGGGGTATCACAACATAACTTTGGAAAACTGATACAGAAATTATTATTATTACTGTATTATTAATACTCAACAATAATGCCTTGTCTAACGACAATCCCCAGGATTCTATTGCAGCTAAAAGTGGCACCAAACTGCATTAATTCTACAGTGTAAATCCGCCCCTAAGTTTTCTGCTTTAGCTGGGGAACTGTGATGCGGTTTTTGTTTTGTTTTGTTTTTTGTACTGCAAGCAAGCATGCAAGGCGGAACATCCCGAGAAGAAGTGCTGCTTTGCCCGCTCCTTCCCTTCCTTCCTTTTGCAAGGGAAATGACATACAGATCTGGGCAGTGCTCCTAGCCTCCTCCTCCTCCTCCTCCTGCTTCTTCTTTTGCCAAACTTCAGCCGTGATGGAGGGCTTTCCCGAGGGAGACGCCAACGGTGAGGCTTGCACTTTGTTTGGATTCGTAAACAGAGCCATCATGAGGCTCGATCCAGGAATGGGAGGGAAGAGAGGCTGCACTGGAGAATTAACCCAACTTGATACCGCTTTTCCGAAGAGAAAGCTAAAACAGGGTCAGCGTCCGAAAGAGTCAGAGAATCCTAGAGTTGGAAGGGAACCCCAAGGGCCACCTAGTCCAACCCCAACCTGTCTCTGCTTGAAAAGCTCTAAAGAAGGAGACTTCATCATCATCATCATCATTATTATAAAAGATTATTATTATGTTTGGGTTCTTTGATGGGAACGCAGATTTCCACTACGATTGCAGATCACCACACCATCATTATTATAAAAGATTATTGGGTTGTTGTGAGTTTTTTCGGGCTATATGGTCATGTTCTATAGGCATTCTCTCCTGACATTTCGCCTGCATCTATGGCAAGTATCCTCAGAGGTTGTGAGGTCTGTTGGAACTAGGAAAAGGGCTTTATATATATGTGGAATGACCAGGGTGGTACAAAGAACTCTTGTCTGCTGGAGCTAGGTGTGAATGTCTCAACTGACCACCCTGATTGGCATTTGATGACCTGGCAGTGCCTGGGGCAATCTTTTGATGAGAGGTGATTAGATGTCCCAGATTGTTTCCCCTCTGTTGTTTTGCTGTTGTAATTTTAGAGTTTTTTAATACCGGTAGCCAGATTTTGTTCATTTTTATGGTTTCTTCCTTTCTGTTGAAATTGTCCAGATGCTTGTGGATCTGTCCAAATGGCTGTGTAGTCTGGCATGGTGGTTGTGAGAGTGGTCCAGCATTTCTGTGTTCTCAAATAATATGCTGTGTCCAGGTTGGTTCCTCAGGTGCTCTGCTATGGCTGACTTCTCTGGTTGAAGTAGTCTGCAGTGCCTTTCATGTTCCTTGATTCGTGTTTGGGCAATGCTGCTGCGTTTGGTGGTCCCTATGTAGACTTGTCCACAGCTGCTTTTCCTAGTTCCAACAGACCTCACTACCTCTGAGGATGCTTGCCACAGATGCAGGCGAAACGTCAGGAGAGAATGCCTCTAGAACATGGCCATATAACCTGAAAAAAACTACTACAACCCAGTGATTCTGGCCATGAAAACCTTCGACAATACATAAAAGATGATGATGATGATGATGATGATGATGATGATGATGATGATGATAGAATCCTAGAGCTGGAAGAGATCCTAAGGGCCATCCAGCCCCATTCTGCCAAGCAGCAAAAGCACAAAGCTCTGTTGAACAAATGCCACAGGAGGAGAATCCATCATTATAATCATCAAGTAATAATAATAATAATAATAATAATAGGAAGAGACCATCCAGGCACACTGGCATTGTATTTCTATGTACCGCTAACCGTTTCAGAGTAATGAATGCAAGGTGGAATCAAATTATTTGGATAATGTGGTTCAGACCAGAGAGTTAGAGACAGTTCCCCCCTTGTACAGATGTGACTCCGCAGATTTGCATTGAGTTCATATCCATGACTTCATGCACCAAAATCCTCCGGTGTGTCAATATTTGTCTTCTCCTTGGTATGGTGACACCCACAATACTTGTCTGGGGAGAGGTTTGTATGTGGACCCTATCAGTCCGGGAATGAGAAGAATCCACATATTGCACAACACCTGGACTCTAGGTTTGTAAATGTGGGAAAGAACTTCCAAATGTTATGAAGTTGTTGTCCGTTTTATTATGTTCATACCTCTGCTTCAGGGCTTTTAGGCCTTGATTGATTTCAACTCATTACAACTCCGTTAAAATGTTACGCTTTTCAGCATTGGAAATTTTTAAACAAAGGCTGGATGGTCATCTGTTGGGAGGGTTTTGATTGTGTCCTCCGGCCTGGCAGAGTGTTGGCATAGATGGCCTTTGGGGTCTAGGGATCTATAAAAACAATCTTTGATAAAAATGATTTTTTTTGTCGCGTCAGGAGTGACTTGAGAAATTGCAAGTTGCTTCTGGTGTGATAGAATTGGCCGTCTGCAAGGATGTTACCCAGGGGACACCCAGATAATTTGATGTTTTTATCATCCTTGTGGGAGGCTTCTCTCATGTCCTCACATGAGGTCTATGTGCCAAGTTTGGTGTAGATCAGTCATTGGATGAAGGTCACAGCAGTCTCAGAAAGTGAGTGATGGTACTGCAAGTCCCATCATACATGATCCATCCTCCTCCAAACTGCAGTAGGATGTAAAGTTAGTGAAGGTACTGCAAATCCCTCAGGTACTTTCCTTTCTCTTCTCATCCACTTGGGAATGTTAGAATGGTTTTTTTTGGGGGGGGGGTTGTTTTGTTTTTTTGTGGTGTCAGGAGTGACTTCAGAAACTGCAAGTCGTTTCTGGTGTGAGAGAATTGGCCGTCTGCAAGGACGTTGCCCAGGAGATGCCCGGATGTTTTGATGTTTTATCATCCTTGTGGGAGGCTTCTCTCATATCTCCGCATGAGGAGCTGGGGCTGGTAGAGGGAGCTCATCCGCGCTCTCCCCGGATTCAAACCTGTGACCTGTCTTTAGTCCTGCTGGCACCGGAGTTTAACCCACTGCACCACCAGGGACTCCTCGATAATAATGATGATAATGATGGAGTCTCCTCTGGAGATTTTAAAACAGAGGCTGGATGGCCATCTGTCGGGAGGGCTTTGCTTGTGTCTTTGTTTATAACAGAATGGGGTTGGCCTTTGGGGATCCCTTAAAATAAGAATAAGGTTGGACTGGATGGCCTTTGGGATCCCTTGCAACTCTATGATTCTATAATAATAATCTTTGATGATAATAATGTTGGAGTCTCTCCTTATGAGGAGGTTTTCAAGCAGAGGTTGTTTGGCCATCTGTTGGAAGGGCCTTGATTGTGTCTTCCTTTATGACAGAACAGGGTTGGACTGCATGGCCTTTGGGGATCCCTTAAAATAAGAATTTTATGTTCATTTTAAAACTAATTTTTTTGGTCCTGACCACACCACAGGCTTATTTATCTCTAGCATCACAGATTGAGAACTTTACATGTGACTTCAGTTTTTCTCCCTGGGTATCATCAGAAGCTTATCACCGAAAAAGACTCACCATGCGGCGGACTAGATTTCCTGGCCAACGGCTGATGTGCTGCTGTTTTCTTTTCAATGTATAACCACAGAATATTTGTTAACTTCCCTTCTGCAGGAAGCAGCTCTATTTCTAGTAGCAGTACATCTATGACGACTTTATTTTTATTTTTGGAGATCAGCATAGATTTCTAGACTACTGTTCTTTAACCACTATAGCAACAAATTGACTTTTGGCTGTAAATGCTATGGCTGAAATGAAAGCTGTATTTCTAATGCTCACAAACAGTAGGGTTTGAGGTGGGACTCGAACTTGGGACTTTCCAGCTTGTGTTACGATCGGCAAAATATATTTGCTTCTAACATAGAATCATGGAGTTGGAAAGATGCAAACCCATTCTGCTATAAGGGAAGACACCATCCAAGCCCTCCCAACAGAGGGCCATCCAGTCTCTGCTTAACCTCCAGAGAAGAATACTTCCCCAGACTTCCAGGTAGTCAATATTACACTATGAGTGGGAAGAGACCCTAGAGATGATCCAGTCCAATCTTATTCTGCCATTCAGGAAAACATAATCAAAGCCCTTCCAACAGATGGCCATCCAGCTTTTGCTTAAAAACCTCCAGAGAATAATGATGATTATTATTTTACATTATTATTATGATTACAATTGGAAGAGATTATCTAGTCCAACCTGCTTCTGCCAGGGAGGAAGACACCATCAAAGCCCTCCTGGCAGATGGCCACCCAGCCTCTGCTTGAAAGACTCTAAAGAAGGAGACTTTATAATTATTATAAAATATGATTATTATGTCTGGGTCTGGGAATGCAGATCTCCACTACGATTGCACCATTATTATTATTTATTTATTTATTTATTTATTTATTTATTTATTTTATCGAGTCATCAGCAACCAGTCAGTTATATTACATTTCTAACAGAACAAAGCAAACAAACAGACAAAATACAAAATACAGAGTACAAAATTTGTGAGTTTGGTAGTTGATTAAATGTCCTTTGACCAGTATCTGGCCACTTGGAGTGCTTCTGGTGTTGCTGCAAGAAGGTCCTCATTGTGCATATGGCAGGGCTCAGGTTGCATTGCAGCAGGTGGTCAGTGGTTTGCTCTTCTCCGCACTCGCATGTCGTGGATTCCACTTTGTAGCCCCATTTCTGAAGGTTGGCTCTGCATCTTGTGGTGCCAGAGCGCAGTCTGTTCAGCGCCTTCCAAGTCGCCCAGTCCTCTGTGTGCCCGGGGGGGAGTCTCTCATTTGGTATCAGCCATTGGTTGAGGTTCTGGGTTTGAGCCTGCCACTTTTGGACTCTCGCTTGCTGAGGTGTTCCAGCGAGTGTCTCTGTAGATCTTAGAAAACTATTTCTTGATTTAAGTTGTTGACGTGCTGGCTGATACCCAAACAGGGGATGAGCTGGAGATGTCACTGCCTTGGTCCTTTCACTATTGGCTGCTACTTCCTGGCGGATGTTAGGTGGTGCAATACCGGCTAAGCAGTGTAATTTCTCCAGTGGTGTAGGGCGCAGACACCCCGTGATAATGCGGCATGTCTCATTAAGAGCCACATCCACTGTTTTAGTGTGGTGAGATGTGTTCCACACTGCGCATGCATACTCAGCAGCAGAGTAGCACAGCGCAAGGGCAGATGTCTTCACTGTATCTGGTTGTGATCCCCAGGTTGTGCCAGTCAGCTTTCGTATGATATTGTTTCTAGCACCCACTTTTTGCTTGATGTTCAGGCAGTGCTTCTTGTAGGTAAGCGCACGGTCCAGAGTGACTCCCAGGTATTTGGGTGCGCTGCAATGCTCCAGTGGGATTCCTTCCCTGGTGATCTTCAGAGCTCGGGATGCCTCTCTGTTCTTGAGATGAAAGGCACATGTCTGTGTTTTAGATGGGTTGGGGATCAGCTGGTTTTCCCTGTAA